TCTGAACGAAGTATCAACTACCACTATCTCCCTAAAAACAGGAATTCTGAATTTCCATCAGTTTTGTTTCAAACACTGCTGAACAATTTTCTTATTTATTCTTTATACTCCATAACTATTACAAAGGTAAATACACTGTTTATAATCCTTTAGGAAGGACTTGAAGCTGTCAGCTGAGCTATTTTGTACTACATAGCAATTACTTAGACTTTCCTAGATGAAAGTCACTACATAATAATTATTCAACTTTCCTAGATAAAAGGTCAAATTATTCCTCATTTTAAAGAATAATTTCTGACATACCATAAGGAAGATGAGAGTTTAGAATTGTCAAGAATCCTAAGGAAATCTAACTATGCTGCCTGGCTTTACCTTATGAAGACAGCCTAGGGATTCTTCTTGTTTGATCTACTGATCTTGATCCAAAACTCATCAAACCATAGAACTGAGATTGCTACAACAGAGATTAGTCTTTAAGAAAAACGCCAGGATTTTCTTTTATATCACCTAGTTGAGAAATACTGGCTAACTAGGATTTAAAGCAATATACAGAAAGTGAAACAGCAACATGCTAATATTTCAATAGAAGTTGTTACATTGTCAAATACAAGTCAGGGTATCCCTTGCAAAGCACAGGCAGCCTTAAATAGGCACACAACACAGAAATGTTACAAATCTTTTAATTTTTCTCCCTCCCTTATTATGTCCTCTTCCATAAATACTTCCTATCCACAATTTTCTTCTATTAAAGCCAACACTGTAAAGAATAGACTCTTCTGAGAAGGTGATCTTAGAAGGCAAATAAATTTATAACAGTTATCTGTGAAATACCACAGCACTTCAACAGTAATTTGCAGGCCTGTGAGCTTAACAGTCATCATCTTGTCTTTTATACAGCAAGTCTAACTTCTTAGCAATTAAATTCCCTGCATAAAAGTCCTTGGAAGTTTTAACACCTGAGAGATTTAGACGTCGAGAACAAAGGAACATCAATGGAATTGAATAAAACTCTAAGAATTGTGATTTGCTTAAGCTTACACTTGGAATATGCACAACTGCTAAGTCTCCCTGAATTAACATTTCAAAAACACAAATTGTAGTAAATATAGTAAGGATTAACCTCCTACCAGTTGTTTTGTAACAAGTATCATAGAAAGACCAAAATTGCTAGCAACAAAGGCCACTTTAAAAGGCTTCTTATAAGAAAAAAAGACTTTAAACAAGACCTACCTGAAACTTCCAAGATTCATTTTTTGTTGTGATGGTTTTGTTCTGTTCTGTTTTTTTCTTTTGTCACATCAACTGCTTTCCAGACAAAGTACTGGAGCAGAAATGGTAGAAGTAACCTACATACATCCTATTTCAGATTACAGACTTCAACAGTATCTGTACTAGCACCCACATCTTTCAGCAAGGAAGTGAACCAGATCTGAAAGCAACATCAACATATCTGATACTGTTACCAACTTCTCATTAAAAATAACTTTAGAATTAACTTCCAGGAACAGCCACTAGTGATGCTCAGAGTAACATCAGAAAACCACGGGAGTTGGAAGAAATACACACACACCTCTTCAGGGTTTGAAGAACCTAGGAAGTAGACTAAAGTGTACCATTTTCCTGACAAAATATTATGCTGGCTTGGCAAGAAGTTGATATAATCCCATGGTATTTTGAAGGCAGATGCAAACAAAACACGCTATACAGCCAGAGCAAAATGAAGGAGGTTACCAGCACCAAGCCCAAACGGATCTTTTTCAAATGTAGCACTGTCAGAGATAGCAAGCATAACAGGCACTAGCATTAGTTGGGTCTTTGAGGTGAGCTTGAAGAGCAGTTCATTTCACCAGGTTTAAGAAAAACCCTATCTATATTTTAGACAGCAAAATGCATAAAAACCTTAATTCAAGTGACGTTTATAGCTCAGATACAGAAGGATTAGCCCAGTTCTCATTTTTTTATGCTACATGTGAAAAAACTAAAGCACTTCATAGCTATTTCAGAGCACTGCATAAGAAATCATTTGAACACTGTGCACAAGCCTCTTGTAAAATGTAAGTGTAAGTGACAAGTCTCTTGTGAAATACTCTGCTCACCCCTTCCCATTTTTATTACTCTACCTGGCCTAAATTCAACTCCAACACCTGGTTTTAAGCCTCCCTCTCATCAGACACACCTCCTCTGTTCTTAGATTGACAAATATTTAAGTGTTGATATTGAGTGTACTTTGTGATAAGTATTTCTCAACGTCACAAACATACTATCGCCTTACTTGATTGCATTTAATTCTAGGCACTTAACTGTTAAGAAAACCAACATTAAGCTCACTGTGCATCATTCCCTGCAAATTTAAAATAAGAAGTCACCAAATATACAAATAACTGTCTTTATTGCTTTATCATAGTATGCATGATAATTGGATGCATATATTGCAACTCTGCTGAACCCTAAAAGTTTTTATGACATGGACTGGAGTTTAAAATAGCTGATTTTTTTCAACTATCAAATCACTCTCACCCAACAGAATCTAACCTACAACCACCTAAAAGACAGAAAAATCTCAATATCCAATTGCCTAAATGATAAGGCTCTTTTTGAGATATACTATTATTTTTAATTAAAAAGTATGAATCATTTCTGCTTCTATTAAAAAAGCCAGACAATACACCCATATAAACATGAGAGTCAAAGGATTCACTTGGATGATGTTTAAGCTTAGGAAGCATATAATAGAAGACAGGGTTCTCCCCCTTTTCAGTAAACATCAGTCTTTATTAGCCTGTCTTGTCTGTTCTTGCCCGTTCTACAGACCCACCGTATTTTTGTTCCATATGCTAATTTAAGAGGAATTTAGTAAGCACGTGCTAAACATATGGGCAAGCTAAGTCCCTGCTCATTCCCACATTACTAAAAAGAAGTGGCCTGCTCCTCTTCCTATCAAAGGAGCTAGCCACAAAACCTGCTGTTTGCTTCTGCCAAAGGACACTATTCCCCGTTCCCATTTGTTATGTTGCAGCGAAGCCTGGGGCTGTGAGGAAGCAGCACAGACGAAATACGAGTGCCATTGCCAGAAGAATTCTTCAGGAAATCCACTTTCTAGAGTTCCACTGAAAAGAGAGCAAGTAAGAACAGGCCAAGAACTGGTTTACTTGAACGACCAAGCAACACTGGGCTACCAGAGCACTGACTAGGCAGCCTATCCTAAGCAAGGTCCTCTAAGAAGAGCACAATTTTTCCTGTGTAACAGTTCCAGCTGGGTTAACTTTTAAAGAGCAATATACTCAACACAGTCATCCCACAAGCTCTATAGGAACGTTCACACATTCCAAAACAATTTTTTTCAATACAAAAAAAAAAAAAAAATCCACTCTGAACTTTAAGAACTATTGCTATCTGCATTGCTGAAACACTCAGCTTTTACCAAACAGGATGACAAGCCAGTTTTAATTCAACCACTGAATTTGGCAGTTTACCCCAGTAGGCTGACAGATCTTCTCCGGTTAAAATCATATTTCAAGACTAAAAGCAGCATATAATACCTGCTAGTACAGGAATACAGCTTATCCATACATAACAAAATGTAGGCATGTCTCTATCAGTTATGGCCAGAAGCTAACCAGAGTATGAGCAGTCCTAACAGTCACACTATACTGTGTCTAATTATAGCCCACCTGTGTATGTTCACAGCCAGCCCAAAAAAACAGACTGAACAAGACTTAAAAGCCATGTGGACCATTGCAATGAAACCAGTGCAAATCCCCAAGTCCTTGCTGCTACCGTCCTTCCTCAACACCAAATGTTTTACACGCCACCCCCCCCGCCCAAAGAGCACAAAACAGAATTTAAAATTATTCTGCTACCCTAATGTAATGAACAAAATTTGAAAGGGAATAAAAAAAAAAGCCAGCCCACACTGCTGCCCTGGGACATCTAGTAGATCTCAAGGTAACAGTCAGATCATTCCTTACAAGGCACTGTATACATGTCCACAAATGAGTACGTAAATCCTCTACTCTCTATAAAAAAATGTACACACTTGCATACACCCCACACACCATCCTCAATCATTTCAAGAAAGGTGCAAGTTGCCAAGAACTTTCTAACGCTCTTACATCCCAAAACCAGATTTTTGCATAATTTCTTACCAGAAGCAATGAAAACTCAGGACAGCAATGGCATGATTTTTCTTTCTGATGTTAGAATCTCCACTGTCCACTTCAAAACAGCCAAGAACTGAATTAGCATGAATCACCACCCTCAGGTGGTATGTTTCCATTTTTGTATTCTTCAAAAATGGTAGGTTTTAAATCTATTCCAAGTTACATGTTAAAGAAGTTCCCAAATAATTCAGTATTAAAAAAAAAAAAGAATGCTCTGAAATTCAGACTAAAGCACAGCAGTAATTCACGTATAAAGGTTATTATCAACTAAATTTAGAAGGAATCATTTATTAGAAAACAATACACAATACGTCAAGCGTTCACTGCACAGTCTGTCATAGTGTGCAACATCATCTCAACCTAGGATCCTTTTCAAGCCTCAGCACACATGAATGAAAACAACCTGCTTATTACCAAACAACTACAGTCAAATCTCAGCCCTGCAGGAATTCCAGGTATCTAACTGTGCACTTACTCCTGCAAGATTTATGTAAAGTCTTACCTCGCCAATTCTCTACTAACCATACTCCTGCTAAATTGAACAAAACCCACAGAACTGCCTTGGGAAGAAAACTTGCTAGAAAATAAGGTATCAACAGATTACAGCAGGGAATGCTGGGATTTAAGTTTATCCTCAAATATCTTGCAAGCTTATTACACCAGCTTGCAAAGCACATACACAAGGAAAGACAATTTCTCTGTGCACCATCCTCTAAAGAGAGATTATACTAAGGTGGGACCCAGAACTGTTCAGTAAGGGAGGTCTGGGAACGCAAAGGCGTATTAACAGTTGTTACATCCAGTTGCAGAAACTGCTCTTACCCTTCACCTAATACTTACTGTTGGCTCCCACATCCTCAGCTACTCCAGAACCTCTCATTCTCAGGTATGTGAATCCCAGTATCAGAAAGAACAAGCATGCAGCAGTTAAGAGGAACATGGACAGGTAATGTGCACTGAAGCCTCCAGTGGTGGATACCTCCTCTCTTTTGAATTGTTGGAGAAGCTCCTCCTCGGGCTCAGAGAGATTCTTCTTGTAGGTGTTTTTCAGGTAGGTATGATTTGAACCCGTATGATTGGAGTGGTTGAGTCTAAGGGAGGAGGTGGTTCCACCCGGGGGAAGGCTATTAGTAGATGAATAGATCCTGGATTCAACATTACAGCTACCAGGAGCACCGCTGAGAACATGATTATTGGTCGCTTTCCTAATGGTGCCTGGAGGGTCAGTGATTTTGCCGCTGTCCACGTCCGTGAGCGGTGGTGGCAACAGCAATACTGATGGGGATTTCTTGGATAGGCCAATGCGGTATCTGGGGCTGGGAGGACTAGAGTCCAGATTTTCACATCCTCCTCCTCCTCTTCCCCCCACCGCCGCCGCCGCCGCCTCCTCCTCCTCCTCCTGATTTCTGCCCCTGTCTAGACTGCCGGCAGCAGCCGCCCCCGCCGCCCTGTCATTCGTTACGAGCACAGCAGCACTGCAGCCTCCGCCAGCCCTTTCTTGGCCCGTCTCCATCACGCCAGCGCCGGCTGCAGCGCATTTGCTTGTTATGAATGGAGCAGGCGACTTGCTGAGGCTCCGTCTGGGCCGGCGAACTGCAGACTCCTCCTGCTGTTTGGCCCTCGCCCCCGCCGCCTCCTCCTCCTCCGAGTCCGAGTACTTGTCCCTGCTGCCTCCGTAGGAGAGGAGCCGGTTCCCGTTCACGGTCCGGTTCTTCCACCGCTGTTGCTCGCTCTCCTTTTCCTCCTCCTCTTTGTCGTCGTCCTCCTCCTCGCCGTCCCCGAGCTCCCTCAGACCCTGAGTCGCCGTCGGTCTCCTGGCCGCCGCCCCCCACCAGGCGTTGGGCTTCCGCCGGGCCGCCTCCTCCGGGAGGGAGCTGCTGCTCACGCCGCAGGCGCCGTGGGGGGCGGCGGGCCTGAGGCCGCGGAAGAGGGGCGCAGCGCGCTCCCTCCTGCCGCCGGCCTGGCTCCGGGGGCTGCTCTCCGCGTCCGACTCGTCCGAGCTGAAGCCCAGCAGCACTTTGCCGCCCCCGGCGGGGGCTGCGGCGCGGCCCCGGCCGCCTCCGGCGGCAGTCCCGGGGAGGAAGGGGTGCTCGGCGCCGGCCAGCCGCGCTCCCGGGGCCGCCCGCCCGGGGCCGCCGCCTCCGCCCGGCGCCGCTCCGGCTCCCGTGTTATTGTTGTTGCTGTTCCGGGTCTTGTTGGCGCCGCCGCCGCGGGCCCCGGCCCGTTCATCCTCACGCAGCTTCTTCAGCTTCTTCAGGTAGACGGGCCGGGTGCTCTCGGTGACCGGCCCCGGGGAGAAGCCGAAGCGCCTCAGCTCCGAGAAGAGCTCCTCGTCCGTGAGCTGCGCGGCCGTCGCCATTTTCCGCTCCCCGCCGCCGCCGCCGCGGCGCTTCCGACCCACGCGCCGCGCCGCGCTCCCCGCCGGAACTGACGCGCCGCACTCGGCTGTGGCCGAGACCCGCCCGTCACCCCGCGGCGCCGCCCGCCGGGAGCGCGGCCGGGAGGGCGGGGGAGCGGGGGGGATGAGCGGGGCGGGGCCGCCCGGCGCCGTCGGCCCTTCCCGGCCACCCCCGCTCGGTCGCGGCTGTCGCGCGGGGCTGGCGCCACTCCCGCCGCCCCCGCGAGAGATGGGGCCGAGGATCGCCCCGTCCGCCCCCGGGCTCGCAGAGGGGGTCCCGGGCGGCAGTCGCGCCGTGGCGGGCGGTGGATGGGAGCAGGGAGGGCACCGCCGAACGGGCGGCCCCCGGCACGGCCCGGGTGGCCTGTGGGAGGCGCTCTCGCCGGCGGCGAGGAAGCGGCGGGGCGGGGGGCGCCGAGTGCGGGGCTGGGGGGAGACAGCGGCGGCTTTCGAAGCTGGAGCAGCCGCGCTGGTGGGAAACGCGCTGGGTCAGGCTCGCTTTTGAACAGACAGCACCGCGGCTGCTGCCGAGTGTCGGAGGGCTCGGGAATGCGCTGCAGTGAGTAGCGTCAGACCCAGCCCTGAACCTCCTCTAGCGCCATTCCCGAGTGTCAAATTTAGCCTAAAGGTGGCTGGAGAAGTAGGAAGAGGCTGCGTGCACCTTTTGGCGGGCCGTTCCCGAGGTGGCAGGCAGCGGCTCCTTTCCACCAATGTGCCTGGTGGGAGCAAACCTCTCCCTGTTGCAACTCCAGCATCAGGACATCTCGGCTATGAGGAGACATACAATCTCTCATACAGACGAGAGGACATAGTCTTAAGCTGGGCTAGGGGAGGTTTAGGAATAATTTCTTCACAGAGAAGGTGATTAGGCATTGTAATGGACTGCCCATGGATGTGGCAGACACACGCCTGGAGATGTTTAAACAAAGTGCCACATCCAGTCTTAGTGCTGTGTTATAGTTGTCATGGTGTTATTCAGTCATAAGTTGGACTTGATGATCTGAGGTCTTTTCCACCTTAATAAATTCTGTGTGATTTTGCATGTGATTAATTTTGGAATTATTCGGATGTATTTTGCTTCTTTCTTTTGGAAAATATAGTTCTTCATATGTATTGCAGTTGAAATTGTCAAACTGTATACAGAAACATACTTGTCATATGGTTGTGCCAATATAAAGAGATGTTGTCCCGGCATTTCTCAGAGCATGTGGTGTGTGCTGACCCTTCTGTATAGGCCCTTTGGCCACAGAACCTCATATGGAGATTTCAAAATCTCCTGGCCTGCCTGTCTCTACCTATCCACATTGAATTACAAAACCCTGGGCTCAGTTTCTGCACCCTACATCAAAAACACAGGAGGCTGAGCTCCAATTTTGACCTAGCTCTGACTGGCTTTCCACCACCTGTGGCAAATTGGTCCAGGGACAAGATTGCACTGCGTGAACAACTGCGTGTTCTCCCTCACAATCTGCTGCAGTGAGGATATTGTGGATGTGCCCTGCTAATGTCAAAACTGAAGTTGCTAATTTTGTTACTGAGGAACATTTGCAGAAAAGGAGTTCAGGTAGCTGTAAGGCAGCTTATGTGAGAAGATCAAGCCAAATCTACTGAGCTAGAGGCGTGGCCAAGGGTCTTTATGACTGCTGTGCTTTACGTGGCACCACTGCACAGCCTCTTGGTTCCCTGCATTGGAGAAATGCATGGTACTCCAGCTGTAGGATCATTACACTCAACATCACCTCCATTAAACTAGTAATGTAAATGTACCTGTTCTGTCCTATTTCCCAATCTATACTAGCCAACTGATAATCATAAACGCCATGGGAGATACTTCTGACATTCCATTCCTTCTCATCAGTGAGAAGCAACCCACACTTTCCAGCAGCTAGTCGGGATACGTGTTTGAACACGCCTGGCCACATTCAGTGCCTGTCTCCAGCTGCCTGTGACACTGGCCAAACAAACAGCAGTCAGTCCCAGCCCAGGCACCAATCTGGAAAGCACTGGCTTGGACACCTTCCTTCTACTAGCAGAAAGTATGCTGTCCTGCAAGAAAGTGAGGATCCTGTCATCCTACCAGTGCAATTCCAATCTTGCTGTTTATTAAAGCAAGGGCATGGGTTATTTTATAAAACTGTTTACTTAGCAGCAGGAGTACAGTAAATACTATAAATAGTTAACAATTATTATAATATAACACCTGTAAAACTTGAATAATCTACTCAAAAATTGAATAATCTCCTGCATGTAGATACATGGAACAGCTGACTGAGAAGTCTACATATTCCAAGTCACGATATAAAATCTGTGTGCCAAAATATTTTGAAATGTTTAAAAAATATGTCTTCTTGTTGTACTGAAGTTAGGATACTTCCATTACCATTCCAAAATCACATTTCTTTCATAGAATACATTAGTATCAATCCCTTATTTTTATCAATATCTCCATATAATCAATTTTTAAGCCAATACTGAAAGTGGTTACTTTTCTAAAGTACTTTTCTAATTTTTGACTGCAAGGAGTGTGGAGGCTGTTATTCATCAGCAAAAAAATGGTGGTTGTTTTTTGGATAAGAAGTTTTGGGTTATATTTTCCCTCTCAGCCTTAAAGGACTGGTGTTCTAAAGAAGGTGCCAGTTCTTCCATTAGGTGAAAAGCTGTTCTGGAAGTTAGCAACCCTACTTATGTTGACTTCATTAGGCTGGTACTTGAAGTTGTATTTTAACACCTCTCTTATTTTTCTTTCCTGATTCCAGATTTGTGTGATATTTATGCTTTTTTAATGTTCTTAGAATGTGTGAATGACAGCTGCCTTTCAAATGTTAGCAAGTCTCTCACTGCAACTTCCTCTTCGATTAATGCAGCCCACTCCCTTTACAAATCACTGTTGCATACCTGAAGCATGTAGAAATCATGAGTCACATCTAAACGAAATATTATCCTCTTGTTAAACTCCCAATATTGTAAGTGCTTGTGTATTTCTATTTACCTTTCTATTTTTGAGCCTTAAGGTATGCTGAGATCATATTCTCTTAGGAATGTGATGGTAATGAATGTGAATGTTAGTAAAAAGTAAGAATGTGCCTTTCCTGTCTTTTTTAATAAAAGTGGAGATAGTCACACAATCACAGGCCTCCAGGAACTAGTGGAGTTATTCTTATGGCAGTATGCCTCAGAAGAAATCACTCCACTCTGAAAACAAACTGTACTAACCTATTTTTAAGCCTATTTACCCTTGTTTATCCAGTTGTTCCAAATACTACATGATGAACATGAAATAACCTTTTCCTTTTAACATTGCATGAAAACTGATCTTAAATATTACTGTTGCTGCCACATTTCTGAGTGAAGAGATTCACTTGCCTTCTTTTAATGTCTTGTTTCTCCTCCTTACAACTCCCATATGAGGTTTTTTTACAAAAGCAAATCCATCTTTGTCAAAATTAACAGTGGTGTTTTGGTACTAATATGTATTATTTGTTTATGTACTGGCCATGCCATTCAGCATGTGAGCCTATGTATGCATTTTTATTTCCTGTGGGCATCCTATTAATATTCAAAAGGCTTATGCTGTCTCTTGCCTTTGCATTGCTGCTTTTTTGTGGCTAAGGTGTGGGCACATGCAAAGTATCTCTTGCCCACACTTCCCACATGGTGCTGGACCACTCGCATATTGCAGCAGCATGAGCACGGTGTGCGGGATTCCCCACCTCCTGCAAAGACACCATGGCCACATTACAGATTACAGTTCTTTCCTAAGTGTCCCACACTAGTTCCATTCCCACAAAGTTAGTGATGACCTGCTGTGACTGTGCAGTTCTTGCTGCTAAAAGTGAACAATCCTAGTTCATGACTCTGAGACTTCAAAAAGACAAGAGAATCCCTTCCTGCAGTTCATATGTCAATGTTTATATAACTTAAACTGATCCATAGCATATCCTCTGTTGGGTGGTCATCCCTGATCAGGTCATATAATTTCTGCTCACTTTATGATATCTGTATTCCTGGGCATTGGTCATTTTGATGAAACTGTTGGAAGCATTACTGCTGACTCTGTACTTTGAAAATAAATGATCCACAAAGCAGAACTCTAAATCCCAAAGACTGACTTGAAAAACTGTATTTATTTTTGAAAGGACAGTTTATTTACATATGAGCTTTTCACTAAAATTCACTTTCTGTATTCAGTTCTCTTCTCAGAGACCGGAATAGGTAGGTATATTTATTTTAAAACTTGAATCTGAGCTGTTCAATTCCTCCAGAGCTGAGCTTAAAGAACAATGTCAGCTATCAGAAAATGAGAGATTTCATAACAAACTGTGACAACGAAATAATAGAATTTAAGAAAATGCCAACAAGAGAGACAAGGGCTTTAGGAGTAAAACAAAGAAGTAATAGTGACTAAAAGTTGAAGTTTATTATGATAAACATGATGATTTCTCCTTCCAGCCTCTTCAGGAAGCAAAAATGTAGTTACAGAGGGGCAGATGGATGAAATCATGAATGCAGATGAATGGTTGAGGGGATCATCCTGAAGCTATTTGGAGAGAATGGAAAAATCTCATTGGTAGGACAGTATCAAAATGCTCACCCACCTGTTGGTCCCTAAAACCTTCTTGCCCTACTATTTTATGTCTCAGAGAATTGCTGCTAAAGATTACTGCATGTTTTAATCAACACTTCTAACAAGGTGGCAAATCAGTTCTGTTTTGTTCTCTAAAGCACTGTACAGTTACAAACAGACCTTTTTGTTTAAATTTGAAAAGGAAAATGTGAAGCTGAGCTTGGTGGTCAGGCAGAGTACTTTATTATTGGTTCATTACTCTTAACATACAGAAACTCTGGCTAGGTAAATCACGTACTTGCCATGTGGAATTGGAAGAAGTACTTCTACATATATAATGTCCTCCCAGCACAGTTGTGGCGAAAAGTTGTGTCAATACACTACTCTGGCTTTTGAGCATCTACTTTCCTATGGTTAAGTGTCCCTTGCAGTATTTCCAAGAT